TTCAATTGTTGGTGGGCCAACATTGATTGGGAGGTCCGTGGGTGATGCTTCAATGTTGGGTGGGTTAAGTGGAGCTGGTCGATTCAAGCGTTCCTTGATGTGCTCTACTCACCTGTTTCGCTGTTCTCCAATGTTGGTGATTACTTTGCCTTCTTTGCTTTTCACTGGTTGTTGTGGTTTGAGATAATATTCAGCGAGCTTCTTTGTTGTATCGTACAATTATCTCATGTTTTCTTATCTTGCAACCTGTTCCGCTGTCATTACCAGATCTCCCACATATTTACATTTGTCGGTTCTGATGCTCCTCTTCACTTGCTCGTTTTACTTCTTTGTATTCAGCTTGTGCCTTGACTTTTTCTTTTCTTGTTTGGTTGCTGTTGATTGCTGTTTTCCTGTTCTTTCTTTCTTGAATCGTATCCAATGTATCGACAGTGATCCATTCCTTACTAAGCTAATAATACCCAAAGCAGTTATCACAGGTTGAGTTAGTAATGAAACATTATTCTCAAATGGAAGGCTGAAAAATTTCAATTGTTACATAATCATATCAGCTTTAAAATGTTCAATAATGTATAAGTAAATTTTCAGCTTAACTACTGATTTTGGTCATAATTGAGCACAATATCATAAGAAATAAAATATTTATACTTGGAAATTTATTGGTATGTTTTAACATAATGTTTAGAAGTTAATAGCAAGTGTACCTTTTGGTAGTATTGTGTACATAACAACTATGTACGTAAAATAACCTAGCAAATTTTTAACCTAAAGAAACATTGTGATACAAATAATTCAGTATTGGTCTCAGTTATTGATGACATTGTGATTAGTTTATTCACGAGACGTTATAAATTTTATTAATTCCGTTGTTATCTAGTTTAATAACGATTCTTATTCATGAATATCCATTTCAATATCTTTTTTTTGGTCCAGGTTTTTTTTATTTATTTTGAAAATCGAATTAAAAGTTAATGTTTAAGATTTCCGTAAGTTAAAAAGATCCCTGTTTAGTATTTGTAATCTACAGTTTTAACTGTGTTTACACTCTTTAAGTTTCCTTTGAAATATCATGTTATCAGATTTGCCATATTCATCTGTAATGATTTTTTCGATGATTTTCGAAAATCATTTTAGTATATAACACCGTGATTTTTTACTTAAAATTAATTATTGTGAAAGATTTCTCTATGTTGGCTGTATGTCCCGTTTGAACTGAATAAGCTATGATGGAACTGTTAAAAGTTTTAACTACACCTTTGCTTAACCACACTGGGAGGTACGAACCTGAATATACGAATTCCTAGATCATCTGCCAATATAACTTGCTCCACATGAGCAATTGAATTGATAAATACAGAAGGAAGTCGCTAGTCTAAGCAGTTTATCTTTCAACCTTGGAGTGATCATTGGACGTGTGGAAAACATTAATTGTAGTTTATCTGTATTAAAAGTTCTTTGGATTGATCTGCGTAACTTTAGTATTAGCATTTCACTAGGTGCATCACCTCTGAATCGTAAGGGTATATACAGAGGCATTTTGTTCACGGTTAGGCATTCCTTATGCTTTCTTTTATTGGTTATACTTTTATTTATAAATTCCTCCGGATACGTGTTTTCTTTCAGGGTCGTGTACAATACCTTTGTTTCGTCTTTAACCGGATCTAGACAGCATGTGGTCTTGATTCTATGGTGAAGTGTTCCTTCTGTATTGCAGAAGAACAAAACTAAGAAATTTTGTATATTGGCTCGTTCAAGTAGTTTTCTTGTTTATGTATCTTCTTAATGACCCATCTTTTGTCCTTGTAAGTAGAACGTCTAGAAAGGTTATTCTACCTCCACTTTCTTTCTCACATGTGAATTTTATGGATAAATGAACTGTATTGAATTGCTCAAGTATTTCTATCAAGCCAGTATGGTCGTTACAAAGGATACACGTATCGTCCATATATCGGCAGTAAACTGAAAACTTGTCAGTCTGTTGTGCCAGTGGGCCGTTTTCTGGTTTAGAGAGAAACATTTCAGCCAATATGGCACCTAGAGGTGAACCCATCGCGACACCATCTATTTGTCTATACGTTTCACCATTGAATTTGAAATGTACTTTCATAGTACATTTTAGTAATAATTCTTTGATGATCTCCACAAGGATTGTAGTCTCTGTTTCTTGTTCTCTAATTTGTTTACAAATATATCCTACAGTCTCTGAGTGAGATATTTGTGAACAATGACGTTACGTCAAAGAACATCACCGTTTGACCTTTAGTGTTTATGTTTTTGATTTTGTCGACAAACTTGAATAGGTCCTTAATACTATGCTTCACTAGGTGTTTGTAGAGTAGTTTTAAGATGGTTACTAAGCACTTTGCTACACTATCATAAGAGGAATCGTACCAAAAGCTCATCGTATCTAGACTAGCCACTTCTTTCTGTATCTATCAATTCAACTTCTCCAGTGGAGCAAGTTATATTGGCATATGTTCTAGGAATTTGTATATTCGGGCTCGTGTAGTTAAAATTGTCAACAGTTCCATTTTAGCTCATTCAATTAAAATTAATTCACAATATCAATAATGATAGTTTCATTTAGTAAGTTGAATGTGTTTGGGGGGGGCATGGTTAATTTAATTCGTTAAATGATGTGATCAGATTTCCCAGTACGTTATCAAAAGTCATTGTATACTTCAATATTAAAAGGAAGGATATGATTATTTATGCAATTAAAAATATCTTTGTTTACTGTGTTAATAGTATTTGGCTTGATAAATTAAGATGATAATAGTACCTTTTCTGTGATTTAAAAAAAAATTAAATGATCTGTTAATTTAGCATTTTTGACATTTGAAAACAAAATAAGTAGTCAAATGGATAATCATCTTTAAGTTCATTGTCATTATTGGAGAACGAATAGCGACAAAGTTTAAAACTCCCTTGATTTGAAAACTTATAACCCTATACACTGTTGAAGTATGATACTATTGAGCCAATGAATCAAAATATCAACTTTTGATTTAGTCGTATCGTTACCAAATTGTTATCAACAGCTATCTCCTTTCTTTGATTAAACTAATTGATAATAATTTCCTAATTGAATTTTTGGTAAATTTTAGTAAATCTAATCCACAGGTAGAAAACTTTATTTCTATTACTTAATCAAAGCATAATGTAATTTGAAGTAATGTCTGTACTTTTACAGATACAGTGTGTCATATTCATCTCCTATTATATATTTAAACTGTTTGTAAGGACTTAGATATATATAGGAAATATGAACTTTATGGGAAACATATAGATTACACAGATAAATTTGGTTGAGAAAAAGTCCTAAAAAAAATCAATGGAACTAATAAAACTAATTGTACATAAAAGCTTAATTCTCAAATCTATTTGTTTCAGTGATAGTTTAGCGTAAAATGTATTTTATTCTCATGTATATAAGTACATTATCTATTCATACATTTTAAGGACGCACAAAATTTACAAATATGTAAAACAGTTTTATTCATTATTATATCTTATATTTTATATGGTTACTAGCTTCATTGAGATTCCTGTTTATGGATTTCTAAAATGTAGAACAAAATTCCTAGTTGTGTTATGTTCTGTAGGCTTAATTCTACTTGGATTAAATCTTAATAGTGTTTTTCAGAATAACTATGGAAGTACTGTAATCAGATCAACCTGTTCATAAAATATTATACAACTGATAGCATTCACTTAAGTTACAAATCTTCTTTATCATATTAAATAAACATATATTCTCAGTTTCATACTCGGGAATGAGTTAAACAGATAAAAAAAACACGATGTTCGTTTAATTTTATTTTCACCGTTCATTACAAATTACTCGTTAATTCTGTGCTAACATATATTGATTATTGTCAATATTTTATAACAACTTTCGTCCAATTTTAAACTAATAATCACTTACCAGTTAGATACCGACTATATAAAAGACATTTAGAAGGAAACTCTATATGTGCAAAAAATAAAACAATTAAAATTGAATACACTAAAGTTTTACTTTCTAATCTGATTTGAGCTTTATAAAGGTAATGATCTTAAATATCATGCAACAACGATGTACTAAATGATTGTTCAGTCAAATTAGAATGTTCAATATCATTTTTAATATGTAAAGGTGAGTCTTTTTTATAGGATCACATTTGTTAAACATCTCAGTGATTAAAATTAAATGAATTTAACATACACCTACATACATTACATCACTCATCATAATTTGATTACATCTTAGACTATTCAAAGCTTTCGATTGAACTTACATAATCTTCGATTTAATGATTATTTAAATTGAATGATTGATATAAACGGTACCTTGATGTTGATGGCAAGTTTTCTTAAATATACACAAAAATATTTGTAGGGATAATTTTTTATGATTGATTAATATAATCTAACGAATGAGTGAAAACCAAGAAACTCTAAATTGATGATGTTTATAGTTGATGAATTATCAGTAATGTAAGCTCAGAATGTCAAAAATGATCGACATAAAACGTTTATTTTTTTACAGTCTTGCATTGTATCAAAAATGTTTGTGAATAGTCGATAATGCTGTAACTATTCTTAACATATAGTTAATCTCATACTTTGATTAATTAGTTTTACTATTGAATAGTTCGTAATAAAACTTATTTCTGTTATATGATGGTAAATGTGAAATGTTAACTAATCTCAAACTACGGTGGAAAAAGTTTATTTAATACTTTTTTTTTTGTATTTTCCGCTGTTTTCTAAATAATGTCGACTTTCTTATGAAGATTATTTATTACAATAAATAAATTTCCATAAATCAACTCATTATATCATTGATAATTCATTCTAAAAACATTAAACTATACTAGTAAAGTTCGATTGTACGTCTAAATGATCATCGGTTATACTGTGAGTTAATTTATATTTACTAAAATTATTCATCATTAACTTATTATTTGTTTTAATGTAATGAATTATAATGTTTATTTATTTCCTATTTTATTTAGGCATTTGTTGAAGAGAAAACAAATGAATTAAAAATTGATGAAGAATTATACGATCGAGTTGATAATATCGAAGCAAATTCATCAAATTTTAAACAACAAGTTTTGAGAACATTTAAAGTATCACATAAAATTATCTAGTTGATTATTTGTGTGACAAATTGATTTGTTAGATGACCTTGTACGGCCGAGAGTGGGGAGAGTCAACTCTCCTTCTCCAAATGCTCTCACATGGCCACGCGTATATAACCTCTGCCAATAAAGTCCTACTCACTGCCTTCTCGTGGCGGTGGTGTTGTTTACAAAATTGAGAGGACGAAAAGTGAGTGTCTTGCGCTTTAACCGGGTTGGTGGACATGGAGAGTCCACTTGGGGGAGTTGGAAAACCCTGATTCCAAACAAATGGTGCATAGGGGCTCCAGTACCCTGAGTGAACAACTGGCGTATGAATCCATAGTCGGTCACCGGTTACCATGGGACTGCATCTTCTTACGATGCTCCATTGCCTTGTGGATCAGACCTTTAGGTCGAAGGCCCTGGGTATGGCTCCCTAAGAAAACCACCTGTTTTGGTTTGGGCACCCGGGCAGTATCACAGCCCTCACACAAATCTAATGAGATTTGTGTGGCGCATATTTATCTGGTTTCTCCTTGTATCAGTATTTATGTGTTCAAATAAATAAATAGATAATACTAATTTTCAAATAAATTTTATGCTTAGAATAGAGTTTTCGTAAGATCGAAATAGAGTTTCATTAGTATTGTTAATTTATTTCATAGATCATTTTTACAGAATTGGTAAACAATTGTACGTTAGTTGGTAAACATTAGTCAAATATTTTTACATAATCCATACTTAGATAAGAAGTTACTTTTTGTATCTTTTATCAGTATTTAGTTGGGTTTTTTTTACTAACAACAAATAGAGTTGGTCACAAAAATCAGAATAGTGACTCAGTGGTTAAGGTGTTTAGTTTTCAATCATTAAGTCTCAGATTTGAAATCTACTCTCAGTTTTGACAAATGGATATAATTACTAGCTCACACAATCAGATTGTGATATGAAGCTAAATATAGTAATTTTTGCCAGCTAAATAAGTAATATTTAATCATAAGAATAGTCTAAATGTTAAATAAATGTATCACAAATTACTAAGAGTTAATTCAATGTAGAATGGTTTGTTTAAATGCAATAAGAAATAATAAATTGTTTATAAATAATACAAAGTTTCTCAGAAAAAAGAACCCAATTAAATGAACTCTACAATGTATGTGTGTATGTATCTGTTTACAGATAAACTACAAATCTCAAATGTTAGTGATTGCCAGTAGATTTCAGTGACTTTATATTGTGTTATGGAGACGAAAAACTTCCTATTCATGTTAATATAATTAAAATATTCGTTTGCCATAGTATTGATTTTCTTTCGTTATAATGAACTAATTTATAAGTTTATCAATGAATAATTAAAACTGATGTTTGTTAGACACCTAGTAGATACAAAATATTTTATAAAACTGTCACTAAGTAAAAATTATTGTGATTTAAGTTCATTTTAAATGTTTAGAAAATATGGATGATACTTGTTTATTACTTATTTGTTTTCTTTCAATTCAGCTTTTGTCTTCACCTTATTGATTGTTGTCTGTCATTGAAAGGCGTACCCCAGAAGTACATAAACCTTGTAAAGGCTCTTTACTTGAACACTACTAGTCGAGTGAGAGCTTATGGCGAACTGTCATCTAGTTTTGCAACCTCAAGTGGTGTCCGTCAAGGCTGTCCACTTTCCCCATTTTTGTTTAACTTCATCATAGATCTACTGATGGAAATAACTTTCTCGTCGACTGAGTTCTCGGGTATTGATCTCCATCCAGGAGGTCCACTTATCGACTTAGAATACGCAGATGACATAGTCCTGTTTGGTGAAGACGCTGACAAAATGCAGAGTCTTCTGGTAGCACTGAGCAACAATGCCAGGATGTTTGGAATGCGCTTCTCTCCCTCTAAATGCAAGTTGTTGCTTCAGGACTGGTCTGCGTTAACACCTGAACTAAGGATAGGGAGTGAAGTAGTCGAACGCGTCGAAAACTTCACTTATGTTGGAAGTCTGATCAGCCCTAATGGGCTGGTATCGGACGAAATCTCAGCACGGATTCGAAAAGCTCGTTTGGCTTTTGCCAACTTACGTCATCTATCTCGAAGGCGATATATCCATCTATCAATAAAAGGACGAGTATACTGCGCGGCAGTCCGTTCTGTTTTAATTTACGGCAGCGAAACATGGCCATTAAGAGTAGAAGACACTCGTAAGCTACTAGTATTTGACCACAGATGCCTAAGAAATATTGCTGGCGTCTGCTGGGATAACCGGGTAAGTAATAGTGAGGTTAGACACAGGGTATTAGGAAATGATGGTAAATCAGTTGATGAGGTTATGAATCTTCATCGACTGAGATGGTTGGGCCACGTGTTACGTATGCCTGAACACCGATTACCACGACGTGCAATGCTATCCGGTATTGGAAATGGTTGGAAGAAAGTTAGGGGCGGCCAAACCAAAACGTGGCATCAGTGCTTGAAGTCACTAACTTCTAGTCTGAGCCATGTTGGTAGATGCAGACTACTTGGTTGGGGTCCGCGTGACTTTCGTAACCAATGGTTGGCGATTCTTGGTGACATGGCTCAGAATCGATCACAATGGCGTCGGTGTATACACTCCCTGTCTTCCCTTAAACTAAGAGATTAAAATCGCTTCATATCTTTCTTTCTACGAACCTATTCTTTCTGCTTGTACTATATCTCTATATGCAATCTTTCTCTTATATATTACCACCTTTTACCTAACCACTGTTATGAATCTGGTGTTCATCTTGTTGTGCTGATGCGGTATGGCAACCTGGACCGATGCACATATGTGCCTGGTCCTACGTTGTAGCTGACTGACTGACTATTGATTGTTTAACATTTCTTGTTCATATGACAGTTAGGTAGATTCAATCCATATAATACTTCATATCTTAAACTTTAAATGTGATTATAATCGGATGTTGTTAAAACTTCTGTTTCTCTTACTCCTTCTTTGGGGGATAGTCATTTATTTATGTTATAATAATCTCATTAAAGTATAACAGATTAGAAGCAGAGTTTATTTAATTTTCATGACAACAGAATGTGTTCATATGTATTAAATCGTAATTTGTAAAACTTTGTAACAACTAAATAGATGTTGTAACTTCCAGCAGCTTATAATGACGTATAGTCGAAGTTGGATTATCTTATTTTACAAAGACTTTCCACAATTTATTCTACAAAGAAGTGCCAAGTTTAAAATTGCCCAATCATTTTAACCAATGAGCATTTTATAATAATTTTTCAAATAGTATTTGTTAACAGACGCTTTCTTTTTTTAAAAAAAATTCTGTTTTATAACAATTATAGGAAATAGAAACTCGAATGAATAAACTTTCTGATGATTTATATGAACATCATCGTCAAACAATTGAAACAGTTCGGGAAGAAATGCGTCAAGGTTTTCATACAATGCATGATACATTAACTAGTGCAAAATCTGTATTAGAAAATAAATTACGTATATCTGAAGAAACATTACATATGGAATTAAGTCAATTAAGAAAATTAATAGTTTTAGTATAAACTGATCATTTGTTTAAATTATTAACAATGAATGATAAAGTATGATGTTCACTTAATTAGATAGAAACAGATTCTTTAAAACGAATTATCTACATTAAATGTTTCTTTTTTGACATTGGAATCATGTAGACAAATAATCTATATACTGTTTTATTATTATTATTATTATTATTGTCGATTGTATATGTGGTTATTATTATTCTTTATAATATTACTGAAATATATACTTTCTCATTATTATAAGTAGTATGTTTCTGTATACAGATTTTACAATGTATTTCTTATTAAATGATATTGTACTCCTGTTTACTAAAAAACAATTTTCTTCATTATTTGAAATTTCATTGTTTAATGAGTTATATTTATGATAAAACAATTAATTTAATAAGTATTTCATTAAAGAATGGTAAAAAGTGTCATTCATGAAGTTAAATTCTTAAAACAAGAATACATTACATAATTCTCTAATACATTTTATTTAACTGAATTATTTTTAAATATGATTTATATAAAAATATCATTATAAAATTCAAAATTTACGCTGGAATTACAATGAACAATTCAGATCTGGAATTGATACACCGTTAAATCACTTTTTAATCTATTCTATTTGTTATTCTAATCAAATACCTAAATCTTTAAGAAATCAGTTATTTCTGAGAAATGTTACTTTTATTATTTTGTAAAATATAAACTTTTTTTTCTAATGCAGGTTATGAATGTATCTCTGTGTTAAGTATTAATTACTAAAGAAAATAGAAGTATAGTTGTTTTCATTTATTTCTTACATTCATTTCCTAAGAAAAAAAATTCATCTTATTAAAAGTAAAAATGTTGTTTACAGTGAGTGAATTCTGCAGAATATTAAGTTTTTGAAGGTAGTTGTCTTATTTATTTGAAATAGTAACATTAACAATATGTAAAAAACAATGTGTTTGGTAATTCATTTTTCTATATTTCATCAGTTATCTTAAACAGAATACATAAAGAAAGTACAAGTCCTAATAACAGTAATAATAATAAGTTAAAAAATGTTCTAATAAATCATTTGATAAACACCATGTGTTTTAAAATATATGTAAGATCTAGTTGAAGAATTCATATGACCTGTTATGTGTTTTTACTTAAATCTGTGTTATCCAGTAAGCTACTATTATACAACAAAGGTGAATATGGAATATATGAAGATTTAATATGCTATAGCCCTCTGACGGTTATTGTTACAGCTAACGTATTTAGATTTTTCCAGGGGCCGATTGTGTCATTTGAATAAACATCTGATTGATAGTATTTTTCATTTGTGTATTAGCATAATGTTCGTTCTTTTTTCAAGTCATTCAACTATTTCCTGCTTAATAGTTGTACAATTTAATAGATTGTCTGTAGACAATACTACTCTTATCTGAAACCAATACACAGGAACGTAAGAAACGCTTCAATATATGTGACTGTTACTTATTATCTGTACAACGCTGGGTATTGTGTTCTTCATTAGTCCTAAATCTTACTGGACAACTCGAAAATAACTTCATAGAATACCATCAGGTAAGCATAGTAATCTTGTTTTTATCACTTCATTTTTTTCTACTATGCTCATCTCATTTTAAGACGAGAATTAGACATTTTCGTATTATTGTAATCCTCAACATGCAGTAATTAATTTCGCTTATATTTCTTTTTTCTCGTATTTACTAAACTCAATGCTGTTATTTTTTTAGTTATAAATCAATATTAAGTTTACTATTGTACTTTATACTCAATTTTTCTTCCTCTAAAAATATATACGTATCTATATCATTTTAAGGATTTTGACACTATTTTACATAAATCATATTTTATTAAATGTTTTGTCTAAAAGGAATTTCTTTTAACAAAATAATCAAATGACATTTGGATGAACGTCAGTTCATCACTCCTTATGAATTCCTATTAGTCAGAAAAGAAATATTTGTGTAATGTACGAACAAGGTATACTGAATGTAAAAAACTGAATAACTGGTAACGATTTATAAACCATCACAATTTCATTTACTAGTCTTAAATCAGTTTATCACTGAAACTCCAGTTCATAATAACACATACCACTTTGTATAAGTCAGATGAAACACCTCGAAACAAATTTATTTAATCAATAAAAACAAAACATCCTATTCGGCCAAGTTAATTTAACAATACAATTTTATTATGAGTCAATTGAAGCTAGATCACCATGGAAAACCTGGAAGCAGTGGAAGTCCGTTTCGTCCTCGTATGGGACTCCTCAGCAGTGCGCATCTAGCTTCAATTGACTCATAATTTCAACCTGTGAAAGTTTTAAAAATCTCCATAAAAACCCATTCTGATAACAATTTTATTACATCAAAAACAAAAGAGATCTGAATTGATTTATGATTTATCACTAGTTGATCGATTAGTTGATCAATTTACTAAATGTCATTAACTTAAACTATAACGATTAGTTAATATCTACTATAAAGTCATATTTTTTTTAAACCGATCTATCATTTACATTGTTAAGATTTTCTGATTTATCAAATAAATTATTATTTCAATAAATGAACACCATTCGAATGAAATAAATCACACAAACGTATCTATCTTAATATATATTATTGTATTGATAAACAGTCAATAAAAATTAGTCAAACAAATATATTTCACTCTAGTACAGTCTTATGTTGTAATCAAATGTCTGTTCTTGTTTTTTTTGTTTATTTTTGAGAAAATAGATAAATACTCATGCTGACGATATACACTAAACAGAAACATAGTGATAAGAATAACTTGAAGAGAATAAAAACAACAACATTAACTCAAATGTTAAAACAGACCACACAATCACAGATAATTGTCCATACACAAAAAAAAATAAAAATAAAAAACAAACAAATAAACAAATAAGAAATTGTCTAACAAATCATAGTTGACTCACACACACACACATATACACATTAATTTGTATGACATTCATTACTTGTATTATTGTAAAAGACGACAACAACTATTTATTTATGGTTCAATTTGTTAATCTAAATATGGATTTTCAAAATTATCAAAAAAGTCATTTATGTCCGGATTCATAAATTCAAAATCTGGAAAGAATGAATTATCAAGTAGTTTTTTATCTGGAAATGAAAACAAAAAAAATGTATGATAGAAGAATTACGATATTTGTAGATGAAAACTAATTTACTTATATTTTAGCGGTAAATTAAAATCCATGTATGTACTGGTGGTTTAAAAGTGTTCCAGCATAAAAAACAAATGGTAGTTATATCTATAAAATATAATATTTCCCCTACAAATTTACAGCTTGTACTGTAGAAGCTTCGATTTCACTAGACTTTACTACATTCGATAACAAAATATAGTAAAATGATATATATATATATATATATATATATATATATATATATATATATATATATATATATATATATATATCGAATATTAGTAATAAGTAGATCTTTTGAGTAGAAAAATTGTATTTCTGACGTTTCGTGACTTAATGTAGGCCACTTCTTCAGAGTAAATAAAAGAATTAAATTAACACAAGTTTAAATAGTTTAAATTGTACTATCTAAATTTGTGTTAATTTAATTCTTTTATTTACTTACTCTGAAGAAGTGACCTACATTAAGTCACGAAACGTCAGAAATATAATTTTCCCACTCATTAGGATATAACGAAAACATATTTGTTATTAACTTTCTTCCCACTACTTAATTTATTTGAAACTATTAAATATAACCCTGACATTGATACCTATATATAATATTACTAATTGACATGTTAGTGAATACTTCATTTCTCTGTAAATAATAAAATCTTTTATTTGTGCCAATAATTGTAAACTGAGACTGACTGACATTAACACTAATCACTTAATGTTTAATATTCATTCGTAACGAATAATCTGAATCAAATGATACATGAAACATGTTTAAGTATATCCTTAGTTATATAATACAATCCTTGTAACAAAATTAATAAACTACTATACTTAAATATCATATCTAATTTTTAGAATATAGGAAAGTTTGAACAAGTATTTCATCGAAGTTCATTTTATATAAAAACAATTTATCACTAAGACCGATATACAGATCTCAATATGATTTATAGGTTAAAATATCTTAATTTATAAGATATTATCTAGTTATGTAATAGTTACAATTTATAGTCTTTCATTCAAAAGAAAAATGTTATATTATAACAAATAGAATCATACAATTATATAAACTTACAAAGTTCTTGAAAATTCTCATAAATATCCGATCCATCACCCACATAACAAACTTGATTATTTCTATCATATAATTGTTGTTCATTATCATTTGTAACCCAATACATAATGTAAAAGTTGCACATTTCATCATTTCGTGTATTTCTGTATAAATAATATATAGAAATGAATAGGTTAATTAATTTATATATTTTTCATAAAGTTTCATGACAATCAAATTCATAGAAGTTAAAATATCTACATAAAATGAAAATAACTTCCTATTTTAGGCACTAGAGATTATTATGTTTTTGACACCATAGTGAGATTGATACTGAATCGAAAAGTATACGATTATTTTTAAAAACATATTTCAAAATCACTTTATCCAAAACATGTTAATACACTAACCCATTCGCTTTTTCGAGTTGACATATATTTGAACTCAGCGAATTTCGAAACTTTTTCATCCCTGTTTGGGGATGCTTACGTAATCTTACACAGAAGTGGATCGGAAACCTTTAGAATTCAATCAGAGTACAATATATTTAGACTATAAACAAAGATGGTCGGTAGTGTAATACATGACGCGCGTTTCTTCTTATTCGGGACTCGTCAATTGGGTGTCAAAATTTCCTTTGTGAAAAACTTCAATAGTAATTTTGTCATACATGGTATTTTCTATTTCACGATTTAGAAATAATTATACACTTGTTCACCAAAATCAAAGCGTTTTTTTCGATTTGTTAGTGAACTAACCTTTGAATAGACAACGTCGTATAGTTCCAATCGATTCCAATGACTTAAATTGAAATTAATTTACATTTGGAGCAGTATATTACAAGTGCATTTTAATCCAATGCATAAATAGTATCTCATTCAATAAGAAACACGATGGCCTTGGGTTCGAGCGCGTCTACACTGCTGAAAAATTGGAGAGTAGAATGTTTTCAGATGTCTACTACTTCAAGATGATATCATTCATGATGAAAATGAGATGGAGTATAGTACTACAAATATCATTGAACTAATATCAAGGATATTTATAAAATCCTTTATTTTGTCACTGCCCTCACTAAACAAGAATTTATTATTTGGATATTTGAAATGAATTAACATTTATAAAAAAATTATCAAATTTCAAACTTACCCCATTTGAATTATTCTACTCTCATTATTTTGCATTATACACCTTGCTGCCTAAAAGAAGAAAGATATTGAGTGTTTTTAAAGAAAAATCACTATGTAGAAAAAAACATAAAAGATTATTAAACGTACAATTATATTTTGTTTGTGTATTTCAATTGATTGATTTTGCACTGGATAGAATGTCTGCAAAAATAAAAGTAAACGCGAAAGAAAAAGAAAGATGATGATTAAAACATGTAACATTTTGGAGAGAAGAAATATTCAGATACATATATTCTATTTTGTTTTTAATATTCAAAAGATACTATGCATCAATTTATATAGATTATAACACGAACTTTAAAACAATTAGTCTCCCTTTGATAAATTTCGATAATGATATTAGAAGACGAAGATCATCAGAACTATGTGATATATTAGCGCAATACATTTCGAACAATCTGGTCACACATATACTTGTTAAGAGCATTTATATATAAAAATAAAAAGGTCAACTAGACAGGAAACGGGGTAAGAGGAGATAAGGATAATGATAAGAGTAATAATAATAATAATGTGAACACAAAGCGAAACCTAATCACTCTGGATAATAAGTCAATATTACCAGGGTAGGTTTAAGGTAAGAACAAACTGTTTTTGAACACATAAAGGGGGTTTGAATTTTCGTATGGCTAAGGCTTCAATGAACCTTAGTATACGCCCTTTTACACTTTTATACAGCACTACAAAAGCTGAATTTAGATCAATCTTGTGACCTGTTTCAATTATATGTTTAGCAATAGAGGATGATGGATGTTTATCCTCTGCTCTTATTGGGTCACTTGATTGTATTTGTTTCTGAAGCCATTTGGGTACATGTTCACTCACCCTAATGTTGAGATCACGATTACTCCTCCCTATGTATGTGTGACCACACACACATTTAAATTGGTAAACACAGTGGGATGTGACGTAATCGTTTCCATGTACTTTAGGTTTTGAATGAAGCATGCACCTTGTTCTTTCTTTGATGATGACCTTTGCTGCGCAATAGGTTGTATTGATGACTGTCTAGTTGACCTTTTATTTTTATATATAAATGCTCTTAACAAGTATATGTGTAACCAGATTGTTCGAAATGTATTGCGCTAATATATCACATAGTTCCGATAATCTTCGTCTTTTAAATTTACCATCTTCTGTTGTATCCACTATCAACATTATATTTAAGTAAAGTGAATGAATCATATTAAACAACAACATGAAAATCAAATAGAACATATTTTTTTATAATTCTAATTGGTTACTTATTGATTACTGGTTAATGCTAATTAATGTCTCTTTCATAAATTTAATGATAATAATAAATATACTATTTGTGAGTAGGAAAATTGTTTTCCTGACGTTTCGTAACTGATTTCAAGTCACTTCTTCGTGATGATAATAGTTTTTAATGAAAAAAGTATATTGTCTACTCTTAGTTATGTGATATATTGTTAGAATATTAAGGCATTCTCAATGCTTGTAATTAGAATAATTGCTTTTCTTTAAATAACATTTTTAAATTTTTCTTGAGGTGTTTTTTTTCTATGAATAAGGTTTCAATGGTTGATTTATTAAATGAAATCTCTATAATTAACGGGGCAAACTTGAGTTGAATTAATATTTCCATGTTATTGAACCGGTGGTTATTTCGGAGTTTGTTGAAGAGTGCGTGAAAAACAAACAGTCACTCACTGACTCTGGGAGAACTCCTCGGGCACTGGACAGAGAGTTAGTGTGTTATTGAACTTTATCGTTTACAGTAACCTTTGAAGAATATTTGTCTTTCATTCATTTATTATGGAAAGCTAAATAACAAATTTCGCAAGATAGATATGATGCTTAAACCTATACTTGTTCTTTAATGATATGTATATTTCATTAAGATCCAAAGTAATGATCAGTATAAGATATGTTTAACTTAAATTGTACAATTACCAAGTTAGATTTTTAATCTTAAATACGATGTTTTATTAAAAATACTTACTTCCTACTTCATTTATGTCAAAGATAATAATGTCTCACTGATATTCTATGCAATAGAATTTATCATAATATTTAAAGCAATAATAAGCAGTCTGCTTTATTTCAACTACCTACTTAAAATATTGAAGATAATTTAGCAGATCATATTAATCATCAAGTCGTCAATGTAACTTCATAATGATCTATTCTCATAAAGTTTAAGTATTTGTTTAACTTATTTTGATAATCATTGGCAATATATATATCTTCGAAATTGTCGATTGATTAATAAACCATATTCGTTGCTTACTTGATGTTCTTGAGGTGATTTAGATCCAATAAGATAAGATTCATTTCTATCAACAACATAACCTTTAGATAGAACACCTAGTAGAAAAAGTAGAAAGTGAAAATTGTGACCATAATCAACTATGTCTTAGTAACTTTGGCAAAGTAAAAAAAAATTACGGAAGGTATGTATTCAATGAAATGAAAGTTATGAAAATGATAGATTTTGGAGTTTTAATTTTTTATTAGAATGAGTCAAATTCGTTTGTATTTAGTCATTATGTGTTTATTTTTGAAACATTTATGATATAACGGGAAGAAAAATCAAAATTCGCTTGGTTTACTCATGAGTTTAGTTCAAGATTACTTCCGTTTTGATTCAATGTCATGATTACTCAATGTAGTATTTCTTTTCTTTTCTCGTGTGATATTTTATTCTGTATAATATACGATATTCATGTATTCCATTGACATGAACTATGCTCAGTATGTGATTTGTTATAACTCTAAGTAGTTTACATATATGTGATTTCATCCTAATTATTAATCAAAATGGGTGTACAATCAATATATAAATGAGTGTATTTTCGACTAGGGTCGTCGTCGTCGTGTTTTGGGGGTTAATAAATCATTACTTATACCAGTGTTTGTGTCCTTGCTTTCGCGTAGTGGAAATTGCAGAGGTCTCTCGTTCCGAGTATAAATGATAAGCGTTTCCGACATAACAATCAGCGACGATCATATATAACAAGTAGCATTCAACTGACATGTTATAACAATGTACAAACGACTAAATGATCGAATATACTTCTTAAAAGAACCAATTTACAGAAAATAGTTGTAAGAAGCTTGACTTTCATCTTCGATACTTTAGTGGTTGGCTTTAAAGAATTGTTTTAAATAAACAATTATGTGCAAAGAATGTCTTTGTTATTTCAAACAAAATATAAATAATACATCCTTGTAACAAGTTTTAAACTACAAATAGTGTTGCTGAATTAAACTCAATGAATACTTTTAATAAAAAACTGAGTTAAATAGGAGATGAAAACGATATGGCGACAGAAAGTTTCTTATTTCGTTGGTCTCATTTATTTAAACTGAACAGTCATATTCGTAGTCAAATTGTTTCATAAATATTGTATCTATAGTAAAATAGAATAGTGTTAAACAGTTATGGGAAAAACTCAAGTGGCCTTGTAGTGAACCAGAATACCAGTGAGGACAATCGAATGTATTTAACACAAAATTACAGGACTTGTTAATAAAATCTAACAATCATAAAGTAAATGCTTAATTTGCGAAATGTCCACCAGTTGTCTCAAAATGACTCAAACTTCACTGTTCTTGCATTTCTATACAAATTGCATCCCGTTTCCATTCTTTATTGTTCGATCATCTTGTCTCTCTGCTGCTAGACCTTCTGTTCACGACTAACATCATATACTACTATATAAGTAGCACGCACCGCAGTCTTATATCAAAAATCAAATACTAAGAGGAAGTTACGAAATGATTCAACGGCTAATGAATAATGTTGATATAAAAATAAATATCCACTTGATACATATTAAGGATAGAATAACTAAATGAAATAATGACTGGTTAATAATTATGTAAAATAATTGGAAAGAAGTAGAAAACAAGATAGATTATGAAATATAGAAAGGTTAAAACGACAGTAGAACGAGGGATCAGATGTTCTGTATATGCACACCAAGGTTATGGTTGAATGTGTAGTTAGGTGGAGCCTCTGTTATACGTACGTTTTAAATTCGTATTGGTTTCGAATCGATGGATGGCTTTTACTGACATAATTGATTTCTCTTGTTTTTGAAAACATTGAATTGTTTGAATTACTCATACAGTAGTTTTCAAATAATCGTAGATAGATATTAGACAGTACTGAGTCTTGATACAAATGAATTTGAATGACATATTATTCAACCTTAGCTCACTATTTCATTTTCCAGAAATCGTAATTATCATTGAAATACAGTGTTGGTGAAACTTTAAGAAAAACAATAACTATCTATTAAATAATAAGTTTCATCAATTAACGCATTAGGCTCAATGATCTAAAATGAAACTCATTTTTTTAAGTTGCACGAAAACAGTTCTCTTTTGAAGTATAGTTAATGAAATGCTGTAGTATTTATGAACTACAAAACTTTTATTGAGACTGAAATTTACACATAAGCACAATGAATTAAAACCTAAATCAATTATTTCATTATAATAGATAATTGGATATCATACTTCTAATTGAGAACTTATTTTGGGCGTTCTTTTTTCATTTCAAAAACGCAAATGTATTAAAAACAAAGGATGGGATAAACGTCTATTAGAAGAGAAACTGATTCATATTTTCATCTATTCAATTTATTTGTAAGCAGTTCAGTTTTCACAAGAATAATTCGAATAATAAGACTTTGAGGTCATTTATCTATTGGGAAATCAATTGATTCATGTTTTCTTCAAAATTTAGGCATGAATGGAATGGATCTTCAATGGTTTAGTAGACTATACATAGATTGTAAAAACATTGGTGAAATTCAAGCAAAGCAGAAAAAAACATAATGCGTTTTTCTAATCCATTTAGCATGCATCGCAACTATGTTAACAGACGCAACTACTTAAGAAGTGAAAAAATTTCTGAATTGTAATTTATTTAATTCATTCGAATAGAAGTTAATAGTCAAGAGTAGTAGTTAATATAGTAGGGATTCTGTGCTCTTAATAGTTAGTTTTTATTCTATTAACTAGGTACTCAAATTCTATGTGAACTAATAACGTAGATCTATCTAAAATCTATTCGAAATATTCTGATACGTTTGTGTTGTTATCACGAAGATTGAGAAGATAATGATCAATATGATCCTAGTGTACTTCAAATGAATTTAAACAAAAATTTACGTGCATCAACAAATAGTAAAAGCTTTTAACAAGAAAAATATTAACTAAACTCGATCGTATATAAATGTATGTGGCGAGTTGATTAGAACAAAGGAAATACGTGTCGGCATTCCATATTTGCATGATTGCTTTGATTTCGTTGAATAGCGATCTTTGTAATATTAACAACTGTCGGTCCTTGGATAGAGAGCTTAATTAATTGGTTAGAGTTTACAAGAAAACGTCTGTTTCGACATTATGAAATAGAAATGATATGGACTAAACATCAAAAGCAAACATGGAACGGCTGATCTATCTAACTCAAATTGTATTCAAGAAGCGAATGTTTGAAAACTGGTTTCTTCTTCATTGGCCCACAGTTAACCAAAATATATTACTAGTAATCCACTGAACAGTGTGGGCTTTTGAAGTGTACTGATGAGACCACAAATCAAGATATCTATTAACATGAATGTACCTCGATTGCCATCACTAAAGACTATAAAATTGTGTTTTCAACGAATAAGTAGCTCAAAATTCCAAGGTCATCCTTAGTATCTTACAGGTAAGAAGTGTATTATAGTTTTACCTAACCAGAACCCAAGCTTAGATTCTACATTGGTTGATTTCATCAGGACTGAGATCATGGTAATTTATTTATTTATTATTTATTTGAATGTATATGAAAAGGTTTCTGACGAAATTATGATAAGATTGTTGTACATATTAGACTTACCGTGACTATGAGTGTGAACACGAAAAGCAAATGGATGTAATGTAGCATTGCCTGTGTATGAACATGCTACATCCAGACGAGCTGAAAAACAAAAAAGTAATTTATTTGAATATGTAAATCATAAAGTAACAATTTTTAACGGAAAATGAAGTTGTAGGGGACATCATTTAAAAGTAATGATATTCACTTTTCGCTCCCACAAAGTTGCATAATTAAAAATTGTGACTCAGTATTTCAGTCTTCTTCATATTTTTTGCAAAGTAAATAAGAGTCTTGTGTTAAAGATGAAAATGAGTAGTGCTAGGGAATACTGAATTAAGGTGAAACAGCTATTCAACGAATTGAGGTTTCAAATGATTACAAATATTTTCAAATGTGAATATAAAAGTTTAGTTTCTCTACAATATAAAATAAAACTTTCATTATAGAACAATAATCATATGCTTTTTGGATATAGTTGAGATGGAAATGAGTGGTTTGTGGAAGTTTTTAAGTAGACGGTCATAAAGTTAAAACTAAGGAATCTTTAGTCATTAATGAAAAATCAGTTTATGTACTTACCACTCATATATGACGTACCCAAAGAACTATTATTTTCGGAACAATCTAGAGCAATTCAAGAATTGTTCAACACAAGAAAACTAGTACTAGTGAATTCTACGCATTCAATGGTAATATCTAGATTGAAGTACAAATTGCCTATATAAGCCATATTTTTCTGTATCTACGAATATATTTACTTCTGTGGAGAAAGTTACATAAGGAGATATTTAAAGAATTTACTTTTCTGTATTAGTAAAAACTTTCTTAGAGTGACTAATCAAAGACTTAGTTAAGACTGTCAACTGTTTTATACAGCTCATTTATTTTATATGAATCATGTTGTCAACAATAATTGGTCGTTTTCAATAATCTACCACATAAAAAGAAGTTTACCAACAGTAGCCAGGATCTGAATCATTTAAAAGGCAGAAATTTTCGTAATACAAATTAAAAACTCTAAACTTTGAGTCAAAAAAATGTATCTGTAGCCTTTGTTTCTACTTGGTATGACCTATAAACCCAATAGTATTTTCTATTATAATTGGCTTAATATGGTTTATATATGTAATCCCGTTGTCCCTACACAATCCAAATTCATTTGATTGGACTAATTATTTTATTTAAGTAAGTAGTTAATTAAAATTGACTCCTATATTTATTGTCTCTTTAAAGCATTGCGTAACCCTTTATCGAATATTCAATTTGACTGTTATTCATTCTCTCACCCTACATTATGTGTATTTATTTCCATTATTAATCTGACAACTTTATTTGTCCTCAAAGTTGATTCAAGTCATTTCATTACTTACCACTAATCCTAAATGTATAAAAGCAGTTATAAAAAATTTATTCGGCAGCACTTATAATTATTAATTTGAAGGTATAATTCTCCAACGCTAAGGACAAAATGATTTTTTGGCTTTGGCCTCAAATAAAGCCGAAATAATTATTCAGCTTATGTTAGTTTGGTGGTCAAAATTACTGTCAGCTTGTACAAAATAAGATATAAGTATCTATCTTGGGTTAGATTTTATGCCTTGAAATTTCAATAGAAAAGTTTAGTAAAGTTTATTAATGACGATATAAATGATAATCAACACTTTCGATACTTATACATATTTTACTTAATGTGATACTTACTTATTTGACTGGGTCCAATGTCTTCACCGCTAACTAATATATATATTCCAGCCAATTTACCAGTTCTAAAATTATTCATCAGGAAAAATACCAGTAAAATAACATACCTACTATGAAATAGTACGTACAAAAATTCAATGACCAACAAACATTCTTGTAGAATATATATTGACAGTGTTTGTTATTATTTTCGTTGTCACTTTTATGTCAGTTAAACTTATAATGCGCAAAATCTCCTCTGAAGTTGTAAAAGTCATTTTATCCGATGTATGACATGAGTCATAACTCATATCCTTAATGGGTCAGTGGGATAAGTGGTTGTAGTGTATTCAATAAAGACTGTGGATTTAAACAGTTTGTGAATACTTTTCGGAAATAAATTTTATAACTCCACACTTTTTATGAATCGTCTAGCTATTTTTCTAACTAATTCACCATATTATTAACTAGACTGATAATGAATAATAGTTAGGTCAAAACAAAGTGTGACCAGTTCCCGTAGTTCATAAATTACTCAGAAAAATCTTTTGTGTTATCACAGACATGTTCATTGAGGTTTCAAATAATGATTAAAATTTCGATATAAATCATAATCTATAGACTGTTATATTTTATTTACAGATTTTAAAGCATCATCATAAATTATCAGTAAAGTAAGGATATGTAAATCACAATGTAAAGTATTAAGTATTGTGTCAGACTATCCATAAAAAAACCTACTCAAAGAACCGTCAATGTTAGTTTGTATAACAAGACTAGTAAATGTTTTACATATTTAATCCATTGTGCCCATTGTGACAGAAACGTACAAACTGGCCTAAATAAATACTAAAGTTTTGTTATTTAGTGTTGTATTGAAGATACAACAAACAATATAAAATGAATCTAAACTTCACCCCATCGCACAAGCTATTGGCTATCAGGACTCAGTAGATGAGTGGATAATGCAATGGCGTTTGAAGCCAACGGTACTGGCTTCGGGTCCAGTAGTGAGCATCACCTTCGGGATGCAGATATTTCCAGCTGATGAGTCCCACATAGGACTAAACGCGCGTTCTGGATTCTACTGCTAGCCACCATCCATCTTTGCTTATTCAAAAATAGTTGTGTAGAAAAATTGTACCTTTGTAACTGGACTAAAACTGCTTAGTACCAGGAAAATCTCTGTTTGAAAAGTCAAACAAAACTAAGTAGTCTAATTTTGTGTAATGCTTATTCCCGGTCATTTAAATGTAAGAAAAATATATAAGTGAAGTTGGTTCAGCAAAAATATCTTCAATAACTTAACTAAAAAGTATTTACTTCTGTGGCAATTACTTACAAAAATCATTATTAGGAAAGGATACACACTTGTAATTCTTATCTTTTATCTTATTATGTATGGTAATTTGATTCTACTTTGTCGCATAAGTCTGAGTTCTAGAGCGATAAGCTAAGTTATCATGGGGGATTTCGGTCAAGCATAAATTTAAGAATACTGAATTACTTAAAATAACTGTCATATTACAAGTCAGTCTGAATGAATTCGACGAACATTTTATCTAGTGTATAGTTGAGAAGAAACACAAATTTTTTAGAGAATATATTGCCTATTAACACTTGCGGCACTGTACATGATCTTTGCTGACGAAGAAAAGACTGTGTAGAATTGTCATACGAAGAATAACTTTCTTCCTTTAAAGTTTAAAACATTCGATTTAGTCATAATAAACTAAACCTTAAAGGTAGCTATGTAAACTTTCATCCTGTTTTCGACAACATGAAACCCTGAGATGGTGGAGAAGATTTGTAGCTCAGGTGGATGATTTTGGTGGAGTTTTGTTCTCTGAGCTGGATGGTTTGGTCGTGGAGCTTTCATCGTTCTTGAAGAATAAAACTCCACCAAAAACATGAAACCCTATTCACTATCAAGTTTGGATCTATTTTCCAATTTAATTTTTCAAGGCATCAGACGGTTAGCGTACTGTGTGAAATACTTATAGATATAAATAATGGTTCAGTTTGCTCTATAGACATCACCATTAAATTTGATTGGGCAATATTACTATTAGTTATTTCTCGCTGGATCATTCGGCGTTTTAATTGATACAGCAATTAAAATTGCCAAGATATTTATTCACACTGGAGAATTAACAGAATCCTATATAAAGTAGATTAAAGCGCACGAAAATCTATCAAATAATAGTAATTGTTGTAATCAATAAAAAAATTTATTTTGTCCCTAAAATAACATTGGAAAAATTAATTATTACGTGACAATTTGAAACAAAATTTAAAAACATTTAATGGATATAGGTAGATTTCATCAGAAAATTTTCGATTATTGACGACTAAAGAAGATTACATAGTGCACTCTCTGTACTTTTAGAGCTTACTACCATTTATTTCGATAGAGTAACCAATTAATGTCAAATGTTGTGATCAACGTGGGAAGTAAAAAACCATGTTCATCGATAGCAAGACACATAATTGAAACGAGGCACAGAATTGACATCAATCCATCTTTTAAAACATTGTATAGAAATTGTCAAGGATGAATTTCCAGGTTTATGAAATCCTTGGGTATTCGTAAATTTGAAGCTCCCTTATGTGTACAAAAACAATTCATCATAACCTTGAACTTACTCTGGTAATCTCTAAGTCATTTTATGGCCTAGGATAATGCGATAATTTCCGATTCTCTCTATTCTATGTTAATCTTCTCTCCCCTTTATTAATTTGCTTACTTGAGATTTCATTTAAATGACCTTCATTAATGTCCATATAAAATGCCCTGACTAGTATATGTGTGACCAGATTGCTCGAAATATATAGCGCAATTACATCAAATTTTTCAGATCAACTTCGTCTTCTCATTGCTCTATCGAAATTTATAAAAGGGACTAATTGCCTTAAACTACCATATATGCTTCACAGAGTTTTTTAAGTGTTCATTAATTCTTACAAAGCTGAGAAATTCATTTGTATAAACGAATTTAGACCGCGTTTATCATTAATATTTTGACTTCTGATAGTGAATAACTGACCTAACTAATAGGGACACAGTATACATTGATTCAAACTTTAATATATTAGACAAAAGCGAAGATTATTTAGTGACCTATATTTCTTATCCTTTATTCATCATATGTTATCGTATTGGACATACTCTTTAAGTTAAATACTGTTTACATAAGCCTCAATCTCTATTGGAAATTCTGTTAAATGACTCGTGGTTTTGCCCTCTGGAATTCTTTCATTTGGTATCTGAACGTCAATCCTATAAGCAATTAATTGTTCAGCGACGACAGACCTATGAAGATTTATTAAATTGATTCTCACTCCATACTGTATTTAAACCTATTCGAAGGACACTCAAGTGCTATTAGCTGCGTTTTGTGTGTATAGTTGTGATATTGTACTCTTGAGTTATATCTATTTGTGATAAAACTTAATCATGAATTAGCATTCAAATTTATATAAATGATTCGTTAAAAATTTATGTATAATTATAAACATACGGCGTAGACTGGGTAGTGAGTTCTAATCCACTTGTATCTTTCTCGTCTAAATTCATAGCATCTTTGTAATGAACTTGTAGTACAAAATATTTATATGGCGTTTCATAACCAACTTTAAACGACACATCTAGGCAAGATGAAACAAACAAATAAATGATAACGTTTACTATTGGCGTGGATTCAAATAAATAACACTGAAATATTTATTTATTCCTAAAGAAATAATCTGGAAACTGATTACTTGATTTTAGATTTTTCAAGTGTATATGGTATTATGTAATGCGAGTGAATTTAATGGATTATTATTGTACTGTTTACTTGATATTTAAGTAGGACTGTGATATGAAATTTTGAATCATTTTACTTTTCTTCCAGACAGTATTGGTTGCTTAACTGTAAATCTTGTCTTTGTTAGATTTTGAAGTTTTTACGTGTCCTCAACGTTTCATTAAAGTATACCCTATAATTAAAGTAAATAGCATCAAGACTGGCCAAAAACCAGTTTTCTTAACTGAAGTCATAACATCATTTGAAAGTCATGAAACTCTCTTCATTTGATTTTACTTAAAGTAGATTACAACATATTGTTATAACGCTCGGTTTTTCCGTCTTGACGTGTGGGACGTTAATTTGCCTTAGACGAGTTACTTACTTACTTATGCCTGTTACTCCCAATGGAGCATAGGCCGCCGACCAGCATTCTCCAACCCACTCTGACCTGGGCCTTCTTTTCTAATTCCATCCAATTCTTGTTCATCTTTTTCATGTCTATTTCCATTTCTCGGAGTAATGTGCTTTTTGGTCTTCCTCTTTTCCTTTGGCCTTGAGGATTCCATGTGAGGGCTTGTCTTGTGACGCAGTTGTGTGCTTTCCTCAATGTGTGTCCTATCCACTTCCAGCGCTTCTTCCTGATTTCTTCCTCCGCTGGGATCTGGTTTGTTCTCTCCCACAGTACGTTGTTTCTAATAGTGTCCGGTCAACGGATCTGAAGTATTTTGCGTAGAAAACTGTTAATAAACACCTGTATCTTCTGGATGATGGCTTTCGTAGTTCTCCAGGTTTCCGCCCCATACAGTAGAACTGTCTTGACATTTGTATTGAAAATCCTGACCTTGGTGTTGGTTGACAGTTGCTTTGAGTTCCAGATGTTCCTCAGTTGTAAACATACTGATCTTGCTTTGCCGATCCGCGCCTTCACATCTGCATCAGATCCACCCTGTTCATCAATGACGCTGCCCAAATATGTAAAGGTTTTTACATCTTCCAAATCTTCTCCGTCAATTGTGATTGGATTGGTGCATGCTGTGTTGTATCGGAGGATCCTGCTTTTCCCTTTGTGTATATTGAGACCTACTGCTGCTGAGGCTGCTGCTACACTGTTCGTCTTCTCCTGCATTTGTTGTTGCGTTTGGGATATAAGGGCCTTAGACGAGTATTTGCACTAAATACTCTCCCAGTGCCTATTCTGCAGAACATTAACACAACACAGATCAAAAACACGTGATTAGCCTGACTAGAACATAGGTGTATTTCCACACCAAAAACCGACAACAATCCAATAATAACAATGGTTAGTGAATATAACTCATCTAGTGCCTGTATGACTAGGCAAACAACCAATCACTATCATTCTTGCCCACACATTACATAATTAATTCATAGAATTGATCTACAGAATCATCAACTTTGGAAGTGATAAATTATTTAACAATGATAATATAGACTTTATATATCAGAGTCTTAACGGTATTCTATTTATTACTAGAAATTTGAAGGCCACTGTCGTAAATTGCTGGAGGGTTTCAAACCAGCTTTGCAGCTGATTGCATTTCTTAATAATATCACCTTTATAAACAAATTAGTGTTACCGGTAAACTCCGATAAATAATTGTTACTATGACTTCATTTCTACTTTTTATACGTTTATACAAACAGACGTTTTCAAAAACAAAGATTCTTAAATCTTTTGTAAACATATACACGGTGAATATTTTAAACATTCATTGTCAAATATCTTACTTGAGCAATGATGTTAAAATTACTGGTGAATTGTGTAAAATAAAGTCTTTCATATAAAGTTTAACACTCCAATCGCTTATGCAAATTATGTGATTGGTGGATAAGGTTCTTGGCTCAGGTGGATGATTTTGGTGGAGTTTTGTTTTATGAGCTGGATAGATAAACTTCTATCTAGGTAGAAATGAAGTGTCCAAATTTCTCCACATATGGCTCACAAACTGTTCTGTAGACCTCAACGAATCAAGATCGATGTCTAAAGGACAATCTGTTAGCCATATGTGGAGAAATTTGGACACTTCAGTTTTACCTGAAGTTTGTGCTGATGGTGTCGTTCAGAATAACGATAAAAGCTCCACGACTGAACCATCTAGCTCAGAGAACAAAACTCCACCGAATAATGTGATTAAATACATCTAATAATTGAGATGTAATTTATTGAATTACAATAGTTTGTTCATATTTTTAGTACCTATTCTTCAGTAGACTTTTAAGTAAAACCTACGTTAAAGATACACAAGAAAACTAATCAAATATAACTTAGAAAACTATAGTTTCCTGCAGTGAATCTTTATTTATTATTCGATCATTTGAGCAATCTACAGTTTCTTCTTACGATATAGAAAATATTGGCTGACAATAATACTAGTGAGATATTTGAATGTTTTATAGTTTGAACATTCTTTTCAGCATTTCAATTTCTATATTTTATGGACTTGAGATACAACCATTCATAAAATATCCCAATGCATCTGATTATATGTTTTGAGCTTTGATTGATCAATATTGAAATATAAAGTTGGATTTATCGAGGTTCAATTTTAATTACAACGTAATAAAACAAGTCAGTAAATGGCACTACCACACTGCATGTTGATAAGATGGTCAATTAATTTGATATGCACAATTATCTTCTGTTTCCCGAAAATTCAAAATTGCATGAAATAGCAATAAATCGAAACATACTCATAATTATATTTGTATTGGCCTGAACTGTGAACACAGGTATAACCCTTCTGGCCACTTAATAACATATGATGACAGTATGATTGAAAGTAAGCTATAATAATGATAATGTTGTAAATGGATGAACTATTTATCTTTCTCTTAACTTTAAATATAATTTATTGTCATCTATTTACTTTATTGCAGTTAATCGTTTTTCTTTGATTATTCTAGTTTCTTAGGTTTCACTATATATTAGATTTTTTTAATACATCAATGTTAAGCAACTAGAACTTATAAACTATATAGTCAACTTTTATGCTGAACTGATTGTATTCTTATCTTGTTATACAACATTACTTATCAATTTGACTGTGTACTTTTGAATTTAGCAGTTCAGAACTGTTAAAAAGAAGATCATTTTCGTCAGATTTGTATTTTAATTTTACAATTCGGACAAGTTTTTTTTTCTAATATACAATTTTTCAACTATTTCAGCAGTTGAATGGTTCAATAGTTTCCCTCTTGGTTATCATTGGTGAAAACGGATTAGAATATAATTGTCAATTAATAACATTAAAATATATAGCATTATTGAATTACAGAAATACAAATCCTTTTTTGACAAAATTAAATAGAAATTATTATACGTATGACTATGAGAAGGAATCGTATTTAAGAACATGTAAAGACAAATATTGTTATCACGGATACAAACAATCAGATACTTTTAAGAATTTTCATACACATAGTTCCCTTTATTATCTTAAATAGAGCAAGAACAAAGATTGGTGCAGAATAATATGAATTCATTTTATTTCGTTAGGTTCTCATCAGCTGCTGATCAGAATAGTTACGTTCCCTCAGTTATACTGCAAATGGTTCTGATTATAAGTATTGTACAATTTGTAAATCCATAAATCATAGAAAGTACAAGTTTTCTTAACGCTACTAATGTCATACACTATGAACTAACTGTAGTTAAATGTTTCTTGAATGAAATGCAACACTATGTTCATCGTTATTTGGTTATTGACTTTGTATTCCAAAAACAAGTAAGAGATCTCTAAAATACATCTCACACTTTAAAAACAATGGAAATATATCGAACTGATATAAATATCTGAAATATATGTCTTACAATGTGAATCGTTTAATATAAATCTGAAAAACATACCGTCAGGCATTTCAAAGGATGGAGCTCCCATAGCCCAAGAGTACAAAATAGACTCAGATGCATTACATACAGATGTTTCGCCATCCGACATCTCACCACATTTCCTACAATAAGTTAAACATTTCTATGTCAAAACAAATTAAAGCTCTTAAGTAGGTAGTTAGAATAAGTTTACTGATTTTTAAATTTATATTCTAGTGAAGATTTTATAAATAAAACTTCTGCTTTTTTATATGTGGAATGTCGTTGTTCACCACCGTAGAAACTGTGACTGGTAATATTCAATTAGGAGCAAGAACATGTCAAAAATGTAACAATTAGCAAGTTTTGAATTGTATTACTAATAATAGATAGCCATTGTAAACTCCGAAATTAAGCATCACATAAATAAAAATTGGATCAAAATATGTGGCAAATTGTTACAGTAAGTATTTCAGTGTCCACCATTCCTTATTTTTTTTTACTGTTTCGCGATTTTCCAATAAGTTTTGTGAACTTATGGTAGAAGAAGCAAATGAGGGGACCAAATACATTTTTCTGTATAGTATGACAACTTTACCAGTAAATACACCACACTACAGTTTGCTATGTATGGATGTCACTCAAAGTATAGAATATAGATAAGCGATAAATATTCAGTAACTGGTCATGGGCGGCAGATTAAGTAGGTAGAGAGTGATGAAAAGTGTAGAGATACTTTATGAATGCTATATATCAACCACTAAAGCGAACTGACTAACAATTATGGAATAATCAAGCCCACTTGAATCTTCATCGACTGAGATGGTTGGGCCACGTGTTACGTATGCCTGAACACCGATTACCACGACGTGCAATGCTATCCGGTATTGGAAATGGTTGGAAGAAAGTTAGGGGCGGCCAAACCAAAACGTGGCATCAGTGCTTGAAGTCACTAACTTCTAGTCTGAGCCATGTTGGTAGATGCAGACTACTTGGTTGGGGTCCGCGTGACTATGGTAACCAATGGTTGGAGACTCTTGGTGACATGGCTCAGAATCGATCACAATGGCGTCGGTGTATACACTCCCTGTCTTCCCTTAAACTATGAGATTAAAATCGCTTCATATCTTTCTTTCTACGAACCAATTCTTTCTGCTTGTACTATATCTCTATATGCAATCTTTCTCTTATATATTACCACCTTTCACCTAACCACTGTTATGAATCCGGTGTTCATCTTGTTGTGTTGATGCGGTATGGCAACCTGGACCGATGCACATATGTGCCTGGTCCTACGTTGTAGCTGACTGACTGACTGACTTGTACTTGAAATAGGCGCAGATGGTTTTGTCCCAAGCGACGATAAAACCGCCGAGATTAAATTATCTAACTGAGAGAAATCGAAGACACTTTTTGTTTTATTGGTAAAAAACTGAGTATATAATAACTGATGTACACTCTGATTTATATCTTTCATAAAATATATTAACTCTCCTATTACCAATTCTTCAACAATTTCTCAATGACTAGATATCTATAATTCACCATGCCTTATACGTGGAATGACGACTTCGCATATATAGCAAACTATTATGCTGTATTGCAAGGTCCTGGTTTGAGGTAGTCGACAGGAAACCCTGGATCTAGGTTTCGTGCTATTTAGCAGTCGTCAGTAAGATGTATCTATAATCTTGAGGAAACTGATGCTTCCTGGAGGATCCGATCTTGTGCCACCTAGGTCCTCAGTCAGAGATATTACAAATGAGCTATCCGTTTTGCGACAAACCCCCTGTGTATTCACTTTCCTTTAGATATCCAATGGTGAATTAAAACTAGCGAATCAGAAGAATTTTCTAATTATGTTATATATTCTTAATAAATAATTTCATATTATACATTTCTACTAATTCAATGATAATCGGTTGTTAAAAGGCTTTAAATATAAATTTTATGAATGCTCAGTGCAATTGATAAAAATGTCGACTATTTTAGAAAATAAGATATGTTTTTGTTCCGTTGCTGTAGAAATGAATGATGAAGATACAATTAAGGTTAGTTAATTGATATAGTCATAATTATAGAACTTTGAGACAAACTTGGCATAAATTAGATATGACATTTCATTCTACAGTAATGACATCTGTTTTCAAAACAGTCATCTTCCATCGTTTATTGTTGTTCCATCGTCCTAGCACTTCTCTTAATCTTACAAATTTTAAGTCCCGTTTACTATCTTATACTTCATTATTTCATTGGCAAAGTGGACAGTTATCTTTTGAAATTTTTGCATAGATTATTGTATCTCATCACTTTCGAATCTATTACATAATTTAATTCCATGATAATTTTTTGACCACTTAACTAAATAATAGAACATTCATTTTATGCAGTACTTCAAGACTATCTATAACTATATTCGTTTTGGGATAATACCCTTCTATTTATGAACTATTATAGTTAACACTTGAAATCTGATAATCTTTGTTTACTTCAATAAATGGTGTAACACCATTTCATTTCCTAAAGACTTTTATATTGGATATTACAATGCGCTTGATTATTTTTCATAATTTTATTTAATGGTGTAATATAGTTGTCTATTTTATTATAGACAACTATATGAAAAAAATATACGACTGTACAGCTCAAGAAAATGATTTCAATGGAAAAAAAACTTGTTTTTCTTCATTGAAAAGTTTTCATTAATTAAGTGATAATCAAATGGATAATTCAATGTACAGTTTATCTACAAATACTTGCATAATTTCAAAAGTGTATATCGAAATTATGGTAGAGATAACTCGACGTTTACAATTGATTGAACACTGGGTGGTGATTAGTGTCATGTATGTCAGATCTATCTTAATGCAGATCGAATCCTATCAACCAAGTTGCAATGTGGCGAGCAGTAATGTTTCTGACTTTGAAGCTGAGTGACACGGGATCAAGTCCGTCAAGGACCATCAGTTCTCTCAAGAATACAGGTACACCTTGCTGACAAGTGCTATGTAACACGAAACCTAGGTCCAGAGCTTCCTGTTGACTATCTCCAACAACACTATCTTATAACTCTACCTTTATTATCCACTCATACATTATCAATTATTCATTGTTTTGAAACGTTTTCACACACAAATTAAACATTAAACAAATGTGTAATCTATTCTTTGCACGATGTAAAACAAAACAGAACACTTAGAGTAAGAAATTTATCTACTGTAAAATAGGAAAACATTATATAACTAGTTAAATCCATATGGACACCCATTTTTTAAGAGAACAAACAATAATCAATTTTGTTCAACAAAAGCAGACTGAAGTTTTAATAATTTAATACTTCATAAAAAACCAAAGTTCAGTTAATTGAAAATACTTGTAGGGTTATCTCTGTTCATGTTAAGAATAAGCCATTAGTTGTTGTTGAAAAGCGATTCATTCAAATCAACTCCTTTCTTTTTTTACTCAATTAAAAAGACAACAATTATATACTTAATTGGTGACATATTTCTCAAGTGGTTTTGTTTTTATTAAAAGAATAATGTAGAAGAATGATTTAAGATGTACGAGATAACTGAAGTGACAATAATAAATGATCGTTTTTGACCTTAGATGCTTTATTAAGAAAAATGACTCATTTGTTTTGTGACAGAGAACATTTAATAGTTGAATTCATGAGTCGATTAAAGCTATACCACCATGGAAAACCTGGAAGTAAAAAACGACAATTTCATCCTAGTATGGGACTCTTCATCAGTGCGTATCGACGATCCCGCTCGCAGATTTATATCTTGAAAGAGACCTATACTCTTTAAATATCTAAACATAAATTGAACAATATGAAAAAGTATCAATGATTATGAAATGGAATTTGATGAATTGTTATTCCAATCGTATGATTTTTTACTGTTGAATATTTAGATATGTTGTGGATGTCATGTATCTGTATGAGTTTAACCAACTTTTTCTTCACTGAAGTATGACTTATATGTAATTAAGAAAAGAATCGGTTTATCATGTCTGATAAATAAATTTTCCCAGATTTCTAGAAACTAATTTTGGGTTACTATTGTGAAAATAGATCAAAGTAAAGCATAGGGACGATCTTGAATGATTTTTAACGTGACCATATGATTTTAAACACACTTACTCTGAAAAGAATCTTGTGGATTTTTGAGAGTCTATTATAAAGTAACTTAAAACAAAAAACCATACTAGGACGAAATGGCCGTCCAATTCTTCCAGGTTTTCAACGGTGGTCTAACATCCATTCATTCATGATATCAATCTAAAAACCAGTTGATTTGCATGTTATGCAAAATCTATATTTGTAAAACTGATCGCTTGGCACACTTAATATCGCTAGTTTTATTTAATGTTGATAAAACCGATTTTTTCCAAAAACTAAACACTGAGAAAAAGTTTTTTTTTCACGAATCTTATGTGATGAAAGTTATTCAATTTTGAATTTTGAACGGTCATTCGATAGTTGTCTATTCGATTGTGATTGACTCATCCTTTATATTATTCCTTTAGATGAAAATGCATCCATTCTTATTTAAAGTGTCTGTAATTAAGTAGAAACTTTCATTTTCACCACTTAACAATTACTGTAATTTGTGAAAAATAAAATCTCAATTTTCAAAAAGACTTGAAGAAATTCTATGCTTTGTAATCCAAAACACATTGTTATAATGAATGGTAACGATAAATATTAAATTTACTTACCATAAATCTTCTGTACTTCCTGGCTTCTCACATCCGAACAAAATAAGATGATGAACAAGAGTAGGATCGTAAACAGGCTTGAATCCAGCTGAAGTATATTTTAAAAAATACACATAGAGTAATTATTTAGGAGAATAAAGCTTTAAGTGTCGTAAACTTTATGAAAAACGTTTGAATCATTATTCTTCAGAAACACATATTTGGAGAAGAGAGTGTAAGAGACATTTGCCATCAAGGAATGATATCAGTTATAGAAGTGCCGACAACTAGTTTGTATCACAGAGTTATTCCAACTTATTTTGTAGATCTCAATGATGTTCATCATCAGATTCAGACCCTCATTCAGTGGTATCGTGGATATCACATGGCATATAGTAACTAGATTTACTCTCACGTGAGGGTCTTCTAAAGTGATGACATCACAGCCGTCCTGTATTTGCTAATTTTCAGCTGTTTTCTAACTGGTGTTCGTTAATTACGACCAACACCACTGAATCATGAAAGTATTGTTATAAGCAAATACTCAAGTAAAATGTTTGCATAAGTAAAAAGCCTTGTTTACTACTACCTGTGAAATAGAATCCTAGGTTGATTAAAACGTATCAGAGAAAAGTTAATTACATATGGGGTAGTACATTTATCTAATAGAATGTCATTATGTTCAGACGAGTAATAAACGTATACCAAAGATACTACTCACAAATACACAAATATTAATTTCGATACTAAGCTTTTATTGAAAAATGACATTTTGGGAATGTTTACATAAGTAGTGAAACAACAGTGACAAAATCGCAATTCAGTTAAGGCTTTCAGTGTTAGGTAGCCATGGGGCACCAACACTGAACTGATGTTCATTGCCATTTGTTACACTTCAAAAATACATTTGTTTAGTAGTAAAGTAGTTTTATAAGTAAAACATTTACTGACATATCCTTAGAGTTACAAAACATATTGTGTAGAATTTTCCCATTTTATTCAATTAAATCTACGTAAACTGTTTTACAGCTGAAGAGTAATACTGACGAGTCTGAATCAAATTAATTACAAAATAACTTATTTGGAAAATATAACTGGTTTGATGCATATATAAAAGGATTCTATTTCTTATAAACATCTATATTTAAACAATTAGATATATAGCTTTTTGAACAGCTGTTCATTGTCTTATGCTTTTAAATATCCGATTAATACGAAATAAATAAAACGTTTTGACTGGTAAACTGAATTTCAGTAAAGTGTAAATTGTACATGTTTGAATAAAATATTAACAGTATATCAGCAGTTCAGTTCATGAGTCAATTAAACCTAGACCACTATGGAAAACCTGGAAGCATTGAACGATCATTTCGTCCTAGTATATGACTCATCAGCAGTACGCGTCCAGGTTTTCCGTGGTGGTCTAGCTTTAACTGACGCATGAATTTAACTGGTTTATTACTGAAATCTCCACAAAACCCCCTAATAATAATTAACAGTATTGTCATTTATAAGTTGAACAAAAAATACAAGAATGTGTGAATTTTATATGAACAAAAAAATTCTATCTATATATGAAACAGTTTAATCTATTGATGTTATATACATACAAGTTAGTTATTTTATCCAAGATACTATCGAGTTTATCGTGTTCAAATATGACAACTAACCAGATAAGTGGATGATAAACAACAAAATATAATTCAAATATATTGAATGATGTATCCATTATCTTCAGCTGTTCTGCCTACTTTTTTCATCTAATCATAACAATTTTATCAACGTAAAACAACTGAATTAACTCAGTCATAAAAAGTAACAATATCAGTAGTTTGTTTCTAGTTCAAACAATGATCAACAATTCATTAAATTGAACAAACATATAAAATGATCAAAAAACTATTATCCGAGTACTAAGTTTCATTAACAGATGATTTTTAACATAAACCACAATTAGCAGAATACCCAGATTGATCTTAAACAAAACCTGTAAAGTTATACTTCATTGATCTACCATCGAAATGTCATAGTTATCATATATATTTCATGGAATAGTTGGAGTTAAATATTAACACCGTTGTATGCCAGCCAGGTCAGTGGTCTAATGGTTAAGCGCTCGTGCGCGAGACTGATAGGTCTTGAGTTAGAATCTCGCAAGGGAAGAGATCGTGGATGAGCACTGCTGAGGAGTCCCATATTAGGACGAAACGGCCGTCCAGTGCTTCTAGGTTTTACATGATGAACTAGCTTAACTTGACTCATGATTTCAACCATTGATATATTTCAACAGACAAATTACATAACATCATTACATTGAATCCTACAATTTTTCAATTAAATTAATTAACTAAGTAGATTGATGTTCACAATATGACAAGTAAGAAGAAACACATTAAATATCAATTAAATAACTTGGCTTTTTCACTACCATAAAACGAAAACACAACAATATCAGCTAATTATGATATTGTAAATTTAATGTTAAGAATTGTTCCATACAATTAGGATTAATTTTATAAGTTTAGAAAATAAATGAGATAAATAGAAGTGTATTACAAAATCTGAGGAAAATCGAGATTAATTTTTATTTTCTTAACTTAACTATTAAATGATTCAAGTATGATTTATGTTTGTAATTTCAGTGAAATTGTTTTAAAATTCAACTTTCAAACAAGATTATTTTGAAATAGAAATCAAATCCTTCTTAAGAATTTTTTTAACCATTCTCTTGATTTGTTTTTCCTGTTAAATCAGTTAAATCTTTGTTATACTTGTCTGGAATTTACTTCGTCCCAGTGATACAATCAAACAAACAACGGCGGCCTGCTTGAATATCTGGGCTACCTGTTCCTCCGATCTACATATTTCATGAAGTTATCTGTTTTGTTGTTTGTTTTAGCACATCATTATATCTATTGTGCACACAATCTATTCAGGCGCGTTTACGAAAAGTTTACAACCTTTCGCTATACGCGATACAAAAAGGTACAATCATCGACATCATGGTGGCCGGCAATATGAATTGAAACGAATGAATATTAATCAAATGTGGACTACCGAACTCCTAACACCTAACTGGTCATCATTCAAAATTTATCGTCACAATCGATCAAGGTATAAGAAAAAGAAACTTGTTGAAATACTTTATGCTGAGAATTCTATGTTGTATCAAAAATATAATGTTGAATAAAGCTTCTAATAATAATAATAATTGTGTTCATTAGGACGATACTTGATCGTATATCTTGATCGTAAGATCATTACTCCAGCATTTTGTTTAATGTTTCTTAAAGTTATTAGATGTTCTCTAGATAGAATATTCAACTTTGATGTAGATGAAGTCAAATATTGATTTGAACTAGACCTTTTTTATTTAGACTACCGTCTAGATTAATAATTTTATTTACATTAAGTAAGCTTACTGATTTTATTCTTACTCATTATTAGTGTTTATTTTTTACAAAACCACTTGTTTCTAGCCTTCTGAACTTGTTACTATCTGTGTTGTAGAATGTTCTGTCATATAAAGTATATATATTTATGAAATTTTATTTAGTTCGTTAAATTTGTTTATACCCTTGCTATACTACACTGATGTGTGATCATAGCAACCTCCACCGAAACTGTTACATGCAAGCAATTTGTATCCAGTTTGTAATTATTAATTTAAAATATGATAGCTTGTAAGCAGCTGACGAGAACCAGATGAAACATTTAAAAAAAATCGTCCTATTCATTTTAATTTTTTGTTTTCACTCTCTTCAAGTAGTCAGTTACTGATTTTACGTGATCATCACAAGTAGGTATATCAATATTTTTTCCAGTTCAAATAATGATCAACAATCCACTAATTTGAACAAAATAATCAAACAATTATAATCAGTGAAATAAGTTTGGTGAAAAAAAAATGGTTTTTAACCTAAATCACATTCAGTAGAACATTTAGAGTGATTTTATTAAATCCTATAAAGATAAAATTCACATAGCTGTAATCATTAAAGATAGAGAAAAATTAGTGAGAAATGTACCAAGCACTTGAAATGAATAATTTGTAGAGAAGAGTTTAACTCTTGATTGTTTTTCCTCTATCGAGATAATAAGAAGCAATTTAGTACTTGTTTGATGTTAAATCTTATCATAACTTTGTTTTTTATCCGGGAAATTAGACTGAGTTATCTTGAATATGCTCATAATAGACGGTTGTAGATAATTCCAGTCTATAAATGAGCATTCTGCGAAAATCCACCATATCGAGGTACTTTATTTACATTTCTTCTCTTATAAACTTAATTACTTTGTACCATTTGATGTCCAATTACATGTTCAGTGACCAGTATAACATTCTCACATACCGGACAGGTATTAGGAACTGGTGAGAAGATACTACAGTAGAATTTGGTATTTGATAAGGAAAAAAAACAACAAAATTGTAAGATATCAAAACCTTCAACTCTTAATTATATATGAATGATTAATTTACTGAAGGTTGAGATTAGAAACACCGTTACTCAATAATTTATATTACCATCCTTTAGTTTAGACATAGGGAATGTAAGATGAATGAATGAAGCCTTCCAACAAAGTCAACAAGAATTAAACTACAATACATTTACCCATAAAAGGTCTTTGAAAACAATTTAAGAAAAAATACTGAAATATACCAAGTGCCTCGATTTATTTTTAATTACCTGTTTTTCTTAAATTTCTATATCATTTTTGTCAATGCTAATAATTCACTATAATAGTATATTAGATAATTACAAAACTGAATTATACTAAATAAATTATACTCACTTATGTAATATGTCTCATTCTTAATTTTCTGTGAATAACACCAATATTCATCGTTCTAAAAACAAAAAAAAAGTAATTATGTAATCAAAATGTCAATATTTCAATTACCATTATTGTTGTTATTCCTGGTATACGAATCTCATATTTGTTGTTTTGATTAGGATATGCAAATATTTCATGAGTTATTATTAAGAATAAAAAATATTCTTTTATCATTTTGTTATGAAAGTCAATAACTCAGAAAAAAATTAATTAATTAATGATATAACTAGTTTAAAATTAGATTTTATATTGAATAAGTTTGAGATTAACTATACTGAGATTGGATAGTGATAGTCAATAGTATTTTAGTTGCGTAGGCAACATTACATGCAGTAAGATAGTTTTCTTGAAAATTATACGTTTAGGTGAGTAGTAGACACACGTTTCATCATCTCATTTGTTATCATAATATAATGTATGAGTATTAACAGAAGCAATTCAGTTAGCCACCTTATATCCAAGCTTCTAAAATCATACCAATCAATTTTCAATACCCAATCGTATATGAGCATGGCATGTTCATCCTTACTATCTGCTTTCATTGTACATCAATCAATATTTTGCTAACTTTGATCTACTCTCTATCTGTCTGCCTATCTAACATCTACCTATCTTTTCTCTTTTTATTCACACCCACTCACTTATTCCTCTTTTTACTAAGGGAAAAAAACAACTTATTAAATAAAACAAGTCGATTTCATTTGTAACCAAATTCCTCAAATATTGTAAAATAATAATACAACAAGGACATATATGAGAAAGTTGATCGACTTACAGACATTTCAGGCTAAGTTTAAATCATTTAATTTTATTTCATTTTGGATTATTGCTTCTTTTCTATTAACTTAATGTATATGATCGTCTTGAAGTTGAATAGAAGATTGTATAGTATCATTGATATAAACTTTGTTGGTACTCAATATATGGATATATTTAAATACTTCAATATAAGAATATTTTAACATCATTTTTGAATAAACAGATCATAGTAAGCCAGTATTATAATAATAATAATCAACATTGTAAACTAATAGATATAATTTTATATTCCAGAGAAACTTGGAAGACTTGTGATTTAGTTGTTTAATATTCAGTGATATGAACTTGTTAAATATAACGAACAACAATCACAAATCTCCATGTGATATCTGGTTAAGCAACTGATAGATTTTCATGTAATATGTTTAATTAAATGTTATAAACAATATTTTCTGATGTATTCAGTTTTATGTTAAAAGTTAAAATCCATGTTGTCTGACATGAAATTGAATAAAGTTTATAGACCTAAATATAGTATAGTTTTGTTAATAAAAGTATGATGATATATTTGAAGTATCCATGTCAGTTGAAATTAGGAGTTTTGATATTTCATGACTTAATATAAAGCATTTCTTCACAGAATAAATTTACTGAGTAATAAGATATTTATTAGAAATTTTATTTTCTACTTATTGGGATATTTCAAGAGTGAGACTATAATTTATCGACTACATTTGAGAGACGCTTATGTGACTTTGAGAATGTTCACATATTAACTAGGGTGAAATGAAGATTATAAAGCAATGTGAGGAATTGAAATAAGGATTTACAGTTGATGGTTAGGGTTAGGAACTAGATTTAGAGTTTTCATAACAAAGTGAAATAATCTAAAATACCAAAACGTTATTTAACCAAATGAATGAATGAATGAATTATGCGCTAAAATCCAAGACCTGATATCTTAGGTCTGATTAGTTCATCCATAGATTATAGTCTTGTCACCTTGATCATAATACCAGAGTAGTTTTAGTTATGATGCAATGTCTCGAAGTACAAAATTTATATTTCTACATTTTTTATTTCTATCAGAAAAATATTCGCTTCATAAACCATAGTAAATGGTGCTTAAAATCATTACCCGATAATTTCAAAATCTATTATAAAGCTAAAAATTAATGAAAATGTATTGAAATGATCATAGGGTTGTTTATTTTATACTCTTCTACCTATTGTTACACAGCCGGTTTGAATAATACAAATATCTCCCATTGCTAAAACATTATGATTGTTGTTCATGAACATTGGACAGCTTGAGTTTAACATCTAGACCACTGAGTTGACATTCAACAATATTAATGTCTATCTTTTGCTTTTAATTTTCAATAAAAATATAGTTTCATATATACAATCATAAATTGTCATTTTTGTAACATTATGATAATGTCAATGTTTCACTGATTGAAATCATGAGTCAATTGAAGCTAGATCACCATTGAAAACCTGGATGCACTGGACGGTCGTTTCGTCCTAGTATGGGATTCTTCAGCAGTGCTCATCCACAATCCCGCACAATGAGAGATTCGACCTCAGGACCTATCAGTCTCGCGCGCGAGCGTTTAACCATTAGACCACTGAGCTGGCTGGCATCCAACGGTGTTAATGTCTAACTTCAACCAATCCAATGTCAATCTTTGTTGAGCGCAAATTTTTTTCATGTTTTTTTGTTCATTGTTATTACAAAGCATTTGATTAAGTGAACTTTGAATGAAAAGGCACTTGTAAAATTTGTAATAAAATTCATTTTTAGGATGATAGAAATAACTATTAATATCTTTCAATTGTAATCTATTTTTACCTTAGTTCATCCAGAACAAAATTCTTTCTAAAAAATTTTTTTTCTAAAAGCGTTAACTAGTTCGAATGTTTTACATTTTGATATATTTCGAAATTATTTTTATTTACTTTTAATCAATTTATTAACATATAACGAATATATTGAGTTTTAGTAGACGAAATTGTTTTTTCTAATATGAACTCTTACTTACTTACTTACTTAATTACGCCTGTTACTCCTAATGGAGCATAGGCCGCCGACCAACATTCTACAACCCACTCTGTCCTCATCCCTCCTTTCTCGTCCTATCCAATTGTTGTTCATTTTTCTCATGTCTTTCTCCATTTCTCGACGTAATGTGTTCTTTGGTCTTCCTCTTCTCCTTCGGCCTTGAGAATCTCATGTGAGCGCTTGTCTTGTACTGCAGTTAGGTGCTTCCCTCAATGTGTGTCCTATCCACTTCCAGCGCTTCTTCCTAATTTCTTCCTCCGCTGCAATCTGGTTTGTTCTCTCCCACAGTACGTTGTTGCTAATAATGTCCGGCCAACGGATCCGAAGTATTTTGCGAATATGATCTCTAACACGCAATAAATTACAAAAATATAGAATATCACTTCTATATGAAATTGTTATTTAAACAATAAAGGATCATTGTTTCTATGTATAAACCTACAGGTCATTTTATAAATTTTATTTGAATTTAATTTCCCATAAATCTGTTGTTTTAAAGAAATTTAGGTGAAGTTTCATTCTGTTTAATTTTGTAATTGAAATAAAATTTACTAAGTAAACTGATTATTTGATTGAATAATTTTAATGGTCATGAATACTATAAATCATTCGTTTATGGTTGTTTTATTATTATTTTAAACAATTTCTCGGTTAGATGAGTTAAAACTGGGAAGGATTAGAGAATTTTTAATTTTGATTATGTATGACATAAAGTTTAGATGCTGCACTAGCTTTCAGTGTTGAAAAGTGTTTCAGTTTTTATATTTATTGGCGGTATACAACATGCAGTTAGAATATTTGACAATTTGATATATATGCTGTTACTTTGTGTATATATTTGATTTAGTCCATGAAACCCAAATTTTGAAAACTATCTGTTTTAAAAGGATGCTAAATGAGACGTTTTTCAAACAGTGGTACAGGATACTACTCATTAGTTGCAAATAATTGTGATTCATTTTAAAGTTGTAGCCTAAATATTCAAAAATTTTCAAACTGTTTGTTCGAATGTATAAGTAAAATCCACAAACGCTTTGAAAGTACAATTAAGAATATTACAGTCGGTATTTGTTATAGTTTCTCTTATTATGAGCCAGCTTCTCCTCTTGCTTAGTATTCTTGAATACTACTTCACTCGTCAGGTCCCCAAATCAGAATACGGTTGAACAGGAACCAAATTATAATCCAAATAATAAGGGCAGATGGAAGTAGAAAGCACAATAAGAAAAACGTTAGTAAATTTGTAGTTTTCAAATGATAAGATTCTAGAGTTTTCTTCAAGTATCCACTAGCGCTGATTGGATAAGAAATAGCCAATCAGCGTCCCCTAAGACAATCCTGCATAGAATGTGCTTTAATCCAATCTATGTTCCTCTAACAGTATTATATAGTGAATCTGTTAGCGCATGGAATTTCGTGAGATATGATATACATATAAACATATTTCTGTTAGTTAATTCACTAGATAGTGGACACTAGTTTATTGTAAATATAGTTTCCCTGAAATACGTGTATTAGCCAGAGAATCATTAAAAACTGAAGAGCAGTGGATATATGCTTCTTCTTAGTTTAAGACTATTAATCCATGTGGATCCTTAACAGGTTTGCTGGCCAATGAGGTGACTTGTATCAAATGTCATCGTCAAGAAAACTTTAGTAACTACCCCTGTTTTTAAATATAGTTCTACCACAAAAAATACATGAACTTTTAATTATCCTCACACAATACTCAGAACAGTGTCATGCAAAGCATTCATAAAATTGATAGTTACAATTAATTGAGTGATGAAGATGAAAATAGATGGTGTTTCCATTTGCAATGTTATTAATCACATGAAATTTTATCTTTTGTTCCTCTATTTGGTAACAAATTATTAAGCATCATAAAACATTTTCAAATTTATGTACTGAATATATAGTTTACAAAAGAATCTCTGAAAAATCTCCCATATAATCAACTTATCCCATATATATATATATATATATATATATATATATATATATATATATATATATATATATATATATATAAGTAATTATCATGAATAGCTTTACTTATAATCAGCATTTATTTTTTAAACAGTTTGCATGTTTTTTTTCACATTTTCTGTAGACTATGGTCAAATTCTTACTATCATTTTTGTTTCACAAAGAATTCTATATTCAAGCACTCTATCAACCATTACAACTAATAATTCTTTCTAAAAAAAAACACACACACCTTTAGATACGTTTCTTAATTTTTTTTTCTTCTTCTTTATTTACTAAATATTTGATACAAATATAATATTGTTAGTTTTTTGTTACTAAGCTAGTCAACCATTTACTTCCTTTCGGCTGTCATTTAACATGAAAAGTAAACATTTTCACAAATCTCTTATAGAAGGGAAAAAAAAGAAAGACACATCAAATCTAAATGTCTAAATATAATAGTCTCTTATATATAGATTTGTTTTTCTACAGATGAATTTGAATATAAATTTTTATTCTTTCAACTTAAAGAATTAGAAGTAAAACAAAAAAAAACGTTTTCATATTATCTAGATAAATTAGGATTATTCAATTTTCAATTCTTTTTATACATTAAAATAAAACTGCATTA